CCTCCCCTCCTCCATCCACTCATCCATGTGTGTGTGTGCAGGAGGTAGTTGCGGCTGCTGCGGCTGCTGGTGCTGGTGGTGGGGATGGCGATGGCGATGTGGCCCTGGTTGACGAGGACGAGAAGGACGGTCTGGGTGGTGAGAGGGAGGGGGAGGGCAGGCCCGTGCGCAAGGGGCGGCTCAAGAAGAAGGTGCAGAGCGACCATGACGATGACGATGACGATGAGGAGGACGAAGACGAGGACGAGGAGAGTGAGGAGGTCAGAGGAGAGAGATGGGATAGGATGGGCTGGGATGCCACACACATGCGCTCTTGCGTGCGTCGTGTGTGTCGATGCATGTGTATGGCGGCAGGATGACGACGACGACTACGAGGACGAGAAGCCCAAGAAACTCAAGGTCAGCCAGACGCCTCACACACCAAACCATGCACCCGTGACATCCCCCTCCCCCTCTCTGTGTGTGCTGAATGAGTGCAGGCCGCCAAGGCCAAGCCCAAAGCCAAGCAGGCCGCCAAGCGCCCAGCCGATGACGACGACGATGACGACGGTAAGTGCCTGTTGACAAAGAACTGATGCACGCGCCACTGCCGTCTGAATGTGTGTGTCAGATGACGATGAGGACGAGGATGAGGACGGCGCGGCTGCTGCTGCTGCCGCCAAGGGCAAGGCTAAGGCTAAGGCCAAGGGCAAGGGCAAGAAGGAGCAGGACAAGAAGGACAAGGGCAAGTCGCTCTTCGACGATGACCTGGTACACACACACCACACACACAGTCCACAAACAAAACGCAGGTGTGCCTCTCTCTCTCTCTCTCTATGTGTGTGTGTGTGTGTGCGTGTGTGGTCAGTTCGCTGACGATGAGGATGACAAGAAGGCCCCCAAGGCTGCTGCCGCCAAGCCCAAAAAGGCCGCCGACAAGGTCAGCCTGCCAGCCTGCCAACTGCAGTCCACCTGCAGCAGCAAAGGACACTCTTGCATCTCGCCTCGCCATCACTCGTGTGTGTCTATGTGTCTATGTGTCTATGTGTGTGTGTGGACCAGGAGAAGCCTGCAGCAGCGGCGGCGGCGGCGGCGGCGGTGGTGGGCAAGAAGAAGAAACGAGAGGACGACGACGATGGTACGGCATAACCGTGCACTCTGCGCTAGATCGCCCTTCGTGTGTCCCGTGCGTGCGTGTGTGTGTGTGTGTGTGTATTGTGTTTAGATGAGTCGAGCGACACGCCCAAGAAGAAGCAGCCCAAGCAAGCGAAGGCCAAGAACCCACCTCCCAAGAAGCCACCCAAGGTCAGATCACACCACACTCCAACCGCAAGCTCACCACTCTCTCCCTGTGTGTGTGTGTGTGTGATGAGCAGCAGCGTTCTGAGGATGATGAGGATGAGGACGATCGCATGGAGGACGTAGAGGACGAGGAGAGTGAGGAGGTCCGTCGCCCACGGCGTGCTGCTGCCCAGGTACCATACCTGCCTGATGCACAAGACACAACACAAACACGCCCTCCTAGACAGACAGCACACACACGTGGGCCCTTGGCTGTGCTGTGCAGGCGACGGGTGGCGGCAAGAAGAAGTACGTCAAGAGCGATGACGATGAGGACGACGAGGAGGAAGAAGACGACAACGGCGATGATGTAGGCAACGCACACACCCACACACACTCAGAGGGAACCGGACTAACGAACGAACGAACGAATGTGTGTGTGTGTGTGTGTGTTTCTATGCGTGTGTGTGGTCTGTTCTGTGATCTGACGGCTCCACAGGATTTTGAGGGGTAGATAGACAAACAGAGTGGTGGAAGGATGGATGGATGGATCAGCGGCTATCGTATCGGATCGTATTGCGTGGCATTGTCGAAAGACGCGGGAGAGAGGCGTCGGGAGAGAGAGGAGTGTAGCCATAGCTATGATCGGACAGCCATCGAGTTAGCCAGCCAGCCAGCCAGCCAGCCACCTGCCGGCAGACCTCTTATCGATCCACCCATCCACACGCTCCATGAGACACTCCACGACACACCATGCCACTACATGCCACACACACAGACATACACAAGTATAGCATAGCCATAGCTCTCGGGCCGGGCGACGGACGCCATGATACACACATGCGTCGCGTGGCTGAGAGACGGAGAAGGGGGTTGGGGGAGGGAGGGATGGTTGGGTGGCCTGTAGATACCTGCCTGCCTGCCTGCCTGCCTGCCTGCACCATGGATGCGGTGATATGACGGCAGCCAGCGTACATGCGCTTTATACTACGCTATCTATCTGATCTGTACAGGGACAGACCGGCTCATGCTCATGCATGGTGATTGGATGGATGGACCCACTACCTAATTAGTCGGCGAATGAATGACTGAGTGAATGGATGAATGAATCATTTCACAGTCCATGTCCATGTCCAACGCACGAGAGATGACACGGTGATGTGGGCACACGCATTGAGTCAGTCATGCATGCATGGTCTGCACCCACCCAGAGCCGTCGATGCACCCTCAAAATCGACCCGCAGACGGCACGCCACCGCACCCGCTCCGTGCCGCAGAACAAGGCCCGTCTGAGGCTCGGTCGGTCTGTCCTCTCGTCTGTGTGTCTGTCTGTCTGTCTGTCTACACAACTAGCTGGCTATTCACAATAAGTAACTATCTCCTCCATCATCAGTCCGTCCACTGGCCCTCCCCACCCTCCATCCCCTCCTCGTCGTCACAGTCGTCGAGCGGCCACATCTCCATCTTGACGGTCACCTCGTGCTCGCGCGGCCGGGCTGCCAGCTCGTGGAGCGACGACTCCTCACCATCATACCGCCGGTAGATGTTGGGCAGACGCACCTCCATGGCATACTCGGCCATGTCCTCACGCACACGGCCCTCGCGGAACAGCAAGTCGAGCTGGCTCTTGATTCGGTCAGGCTCGCCAGGGGCTGTGAAGATGTCGGCTCGCTCGCTGAGGTTGAGAGTGGCGCGCTCGGGCCGCACCTCATGGACGAGGCGGAAGAGGTCCCGCAGCCGCTCGGGGACGCTCCCTGCTGTCGGGTTGTAGATGTCCTGGTCGCCCATGGGGTGGTCGATGGGTCTGATCTCGATGCTGAGGTCTTGCACTCTGGGGTACTGGCGGGCGGTGTCGGGTGAGGGGAAGGCGACTGGGGCGGCCGCCTTGGTGCAAGGCCGGTAGAGAAAGAGCGAAAAATCCGCTATGTCCAACTTCTGCGACCCAAGTGAGAAGGAGTCATTCGAAAGGGGTGTGTTCGTGCCATGTGTGTGCATTGGTACCTTCAGTGGCTTTGGTGTGATGCCCTGCTGGATGTACGCGAGCACCTCAGAGGCCATGATGCCGTTCACCGTCGGGCCACAGAGGTACACGTGTGTGAGGGCGGGGAGTGAAGAGAGGAGGCGCGAGAGTCGGTTGGGCGTGGCGGGCGGGATCAGGTACTCGGGGTCGCACGTCGAGACATCATCCGTGCTACCAAAGTCCATCAGGTAGAGCTCTGTCACGTTACTGTCCAAGAATCGACACACACACACACACACAGAGGAACTGGGTCAAGCGCCTTCATCGCGTCTGTTATTCGCCTCACTCACCTGAGTGAGTTGAGCGTGGTCATCTCCTCGGTCAGCCACTGGGGGATGCAATCGAAGCACTCAGCATCGACATCGGGGCAATCACTGTCGAGCTCGATCGCTAGGCGGCGCGCGCTATCGAAGCGGATGCCGCTGAAATATGGGCTGGTGGGAGAGGGCGACTCGATCCAGCATCCTTCCAACTTCACACGGTCGCCCCCTCCCACGTGCCGCTTGATGGTCTCCACCAGCTTGAGGGTCTCGGCGGTCGGCGGGCCCTGAGTCGTCTCGCCGTAGCAGTGGATGGAGGTCTCGCCTCCCTCCCTCACCACCTCCCATCCCATCTCCTCTGCCGCCTGAATCGTCTGCACCGAGCCATTGGACCAGTTGTCTGGGTTGACCAGGTCTCGGACGATCTCAAGTGGGCAGGTGACCTTGAGCTGGCGCTTCCTGGCGGCTCCCGACGGGAAGGGGGAGGGGGGAAGGGCCGCACTTGCGCTGCCGGTCGAGCCCGCCGCGCCGCCTTCGTGCAGCGGCAGCTGCCGCAGGAGAGTCACCACCTTGCTGGTCTCCGGGTTGCGTAGTGGGGGGTAAAACACCCGTGAGCTCCCCAACAGCGTGAGGTGGCCGACGTGGTGCAGGTTCTTGCGCGATGAGAGTGCAGCGGTGGTGAGGGGTACGACAGAGTCAGCTGCCCGTCCGTGGCAGCACAGCAGTGGGAAGATGTCCAGGTGGCTGAGGGATGGGGACGATCCCAGGATGAACGCCAGGCTGCCATCAAACGTGGCGCGGATCCTGGATGCCCACTTGCCAGGCACTTCGAGGCGACCGATTGTGTACTCAGGGAGGACTTTGCCGGTGAGCCGCTCGAGCGCTGGGCAGACGAGCTTCTGCTGCTGGAACAGATGGAGTCCGTCGAGGCTGTCCACCTCAATCGACCTGACCGACGGAAACACCGCATCGGGCCCCCTGACCTGCGCCACTGGCTGGTCGCTCCCCTCTTCATCGGCATCATCATTCCCGTCTCGCTGCTGCTTGGCTTGTGTCGTCTGGATGGCCTTGAGAGTGTCGATGTGGTTGACCAGCTGCAGAGAGACAAAGGCGAACAGCCGCGCCCGGCCGATCTCCTCGACCTCCTCCTTTGTGGGCAGCAGGATGATGGCCTGCTGCTGCTGCTCGAACGTCACGAGGCTGCCGCCCGGTCCCCTGCAGCTGAGGCCGTGGTTGGGGCGGTGCCAGTTGATGACCCGGATCAGCGAATAGATGGCCCAGTAGAAGGCACGGCAGACACAGCTCATCGCCAGGCGCTCCTTGACGGACTGATACGATGACACGTTGAGCCAGGTATCGCCATCCAGAAGGCTCGTGAGGCTCTTTGATGCATTGCGGTTAGACGGGTCATCACTCTGGGCCGGAGCGGCAGTGCGCGGGGCTTTGGCTGGCGGGCCGTCCATCGCTCTCAACGCACACACACACCAGAGATCGCTACGCTGCTACGGCTTCCTGCAGATTCACGCACGCAAAGACAGGAAGATATCATTCGTCAGCGGCCCTGAGATTTCTCCCGACCCACTTACAAGTTCCTGCGATGAATGTGCGGCTGCGGGTCCCCTTGTGTGTCCCAAGGTGTGTCCTCTCTGATGGCGGCGGCCCGTCGTTCTGTGACGCCACTGATGGTTTGTCCATCCAGACTTGAGAATGCCGCTGCGTAGTCGACGTATGGCGAGAGCTTCGAAGCTCGCAAATCCGTTAACGCAGCCGTTGCGTTCAAAAGCGCTTGCGTGGCAAGCAACCAGAGGGCCCATCCACCGTCTGCATCAGCACCCCGTCGAGTGCAGCTGGTCTACAACCAGCCTTTCATTGAGTCCACTCCTTTGGGTCGTGCACGCCGCCCTTTGTTCACGCAGCCGCCTCGTGGCGTTCCTCTCGCCGAGGTCCATGCTCTTTCTCCTCTGCAGTGTCGTGGTGCTCCTCACCACCTCGGCCACGTTCGATTCCCCCCCTCAGGCTGATGTGCCTTCAGACTTCATCGCTCCCGCAACCAACGCGACTGCCGAGGACACCTACCCCTGCTGGGGACATCCCAGTGGGGGGCTTGTATCCGGGCCCTGCGAGGAGCGCGACTGCAAGGTGCGATTCCTCTTCGAGCTCCACCGCTACTGGGTGCGCGATGACCCGCAGCCCCGAGTATACGACCCGCCGGTATGTGTGTGCAAGCAAATCAGATGAGAGCAGACCAGCCCTTCCCTCATCCGCCCTTTCCCTCCCTCATTTGGCTGTCCATGCAGAGAGTCATGGACATTGCATTCAATTCGAAATCCAGACGGCTCACGTGTCATCACCACACACGAGACGAAGCGCGAAAGCATGCCTCTCAGGGTGCAGAGAAATGCATCGCTGCAATCAGGGACACCTTCTACACCGAGGCCTTCGACGGGTGGGATGATCCTTTCTCAGCGTGTGGACTCACCTGTATGGATCCGCCGCAGTTCATGCCAGAAGAAAGCGGCTCGTTTGCCCAAGCAATTGGCAGACAGGTCTGCGGCTGGTTTCCCGACCTCCCACCTGGCGGCCCGGCGACTCACTTTGGTAGGTCTCGAAAGCCACGTTATGAGGGAGGGTGGCCTGGGACACGTCAAGCACTCACTTTGTCAACACATGCCCCTTGGTTGTGTGGATGGATGGATGGTATGCTGCAGCGGGTTATGTCATCGCCAGCATCGAGGGAGATCGCTGCTGCTTCCACAGCGACATTTGCTGTCCTGCGCGTGAGCAGTACGGCTTCAGGCAGTGTAGGGGCGCGATGGTCATAACCCCATGGCCTGGGCGCATGGAGGTTTCGCCGGGCATGATGAGGTGGAGCTGCAATACAGGGGGGCCTCTGTAGACGCAAGCAATCAAAGTGGCCGTCCATGGCCTTATAATTGAGTGGGGGTCCGTCCGCATTCTAGTCAGCTGTCTGTTGCATGTGTGTGTGTCTATTTGTCTTTGCCGGATGGATGGATGGATGGATGGACGATGAGGTGTGTCTGTGTCTGAGTGCGGCATGGCGGCGTGCTGCATGGTGCTGGCTGACGGGTGACATACGGGACAGACACACGTACAGCCACAGAGAGAGAAGGCCATGAACGGGTGTGTGGGCGTGGCCACCGTGACTGTGTGGTTGTGTCTTGTGTGTGCAGCCAGCCGTTCGTTGACTCATCAGCACGCTCTAGCTACTCTTGCGTATGTGGCAGTGTAGGGGCGGATACATCGGCCCACGCGGATGGATTTGTCGCGTGTGTGTTGATGGTGTCTCGATGTCTCTATCTTTCGTCCGTGTGTGGTGCCTGGTCTTCCGGGCATGACACACACGCTTGTCTGTCTGCCTGCCTGCCTGCCTGCAGAGAGGGGGAGAGGGGGAGAGGGACGTGTGGGTGTCGACGGGTCAGTCAGTGTGGTCCAAAGCAGCGAGGCGCTGACAGGTCGACAGGCACACGCACATTCGCACCAATCTCATGGGAGATGGGGGCACATAGGGAGGCAGATAGGGAGGGAGGGACACACACACACAGCAAGCGCTTCCTTCATCCGCTGTGCACACCACACACCAGATGGTCGCCGACTAATTCAATTCATCAGAGACAGACACTCTTTTTCCTTCTTTGGCTACATGTCATGTCCATTCCTTCATCTGTGTGTCTGTGTGTCTGTGTCTCTGAGTGTTTGGTATCTGTCCTTAAGGCTGTGCTGGTTCGAAATAGATGAGCGGCAAGTGCTCGCCTTCGTGACGCCTGCCCTTGTCGCTCACATCGTTACTTCATCTGTCTGCAGGAAGCCCCTCATGGCTGTCTGCCTGTCATATGTGTTGGGTTGTGTGTGTGGCTGTCTCTCCATTCTTCTGTTGGATGGGACGCGACAGACCATGTGTGATGGTGATTCAAGATCTTGGCACGATTGTCGGTGCCTGGCCTGCACAGACGCGCCGTGAGATGAGCAACGTGTTTGAGTCAGTCAAGTGATTGATGTCACACCGCCAATCGCGACTGTGGGCGGTGGGAAAGGTATGCACGCTGATAGTGGTTGATTGATACAGCGGCATCCAAAGACACAGCATGCACTGCCCAAAACATGGCATAAAGGCGGACGCATACTCACGTCAACAAAGCCGTCCACCCCTACACACCCCTACCGCAGAGTAGTGCCGCCTCAAAACACGACAGCTCCATACCGCCGGGCCTGGCCGTGAGGCTCGGCCGGTCCGCTCACCCATCTGTCTGTCTGTCTGTCTGTCTGTCCGCCATGCCCTCACTGCCCTCCTCCTCAGCAGCATCACCTACCGGCCGCATCTCCATCTCGACGGTCCACTCGTGCTCGCGTGGCCGCTGTGCCAGCTCGACATCCGATGTCTCCTCCTCATCGAATCGCTCGTACGCCAGTCGCGTCACCTCCATGGCATACTCGGGCATGGCCTGCCGCACGCGGCCCTGGCGGAACAGCGAATCGAGCTGGCTCTTGATTTGGTCAGCGTCGCCAGAGGCGGTGAGGATGTCGGCTCGCTCGCTGAGCTTGAGGGTGGCGTGCCTCGGCCGCAGCTCGTGGACGAGGCGGAAGAGGTCCCGCAGCCGCTCGGGGACGCTCTCGGCTCTCGCGGTGTAGATGTCCTGGTCGCTGGCCACATCGTAACTGAACTCTCCGAAAGGTCCGATCTCGATGCTGAGGTCTTGCACTCTGGGGTACTGGCGGATGGTGTGGGG